CCCCTTTTCTTCTCTGTCAAATCTTGGTTCATAACCTCTGAGCCCCTTTGTGAGTAATTTTTAAAAAGCCCCTGTGTACAACTTTGGAAGCATTTTGATATCTGACCATGGAGAGTGTTACATATTGAAGCACAATTTTTCAAATTAAATCTTTGCAGGTACCAATAATAAAACTCACAGACCAGGAGACTGAGGTTAAAGTTGACATCAGCTTCAACATGGAGACGGGGGTCCGAGCAGCGGAGTTCATCAAAAATTATATGAAGGTGCTGCCTCCTGGGAGTTGGCACAGCGAGACGGGGCTCATGGTGCTGTGCCGGGTGTCGTTTCTCAGATAGGTGTTACACCTTGAGACTGATGGGTGTCTTTAAGAGGAGACACTATCCTACAGCATTAATTATAGAGATGCTTTGAAATGGCATAGCTGTTTTTCAGATTTACTTCCCTTGGCTGAGTGTATCATAAAGTGAGGGTTATTTTAGAGAGCTTTGTCAAACGTTCTTTCTAGTTATTACAAAGTGACCATCCCTGCAGCTCCGTGTGACTTAAAGCTAGTCCAGGGCCCCTGGAAGCGAATCTGTCATGATGCGCTTCGCATTTACTCAGTCTCCCGCCTCGGTGGCAGAGCAGACTTGTTCCCCGAGGGACCGATTTTGGTCTCTGACCAGTGAATCAGACGGTCTTCCCTCCTGTCCCAGTGGTGGGACCCTTGATAGGGGCTGCCAGCGCCTGGGGTCTGGGTGCCGCCTCGCCCACAGTTTCGGGGACCTGGCTCCTCCCAGCTCCCTCTCCTCTGCATCACCTCGTCTAAAGGCTCGTTGCCACCCTAGCAGACACGACACAAGTTTCCGCTGGCCCCACCCCTTCTCTGGCCTCTGCATTTCCTTGTGCCTTCACCCTGCTCTCCCCTGGAGGACTGGCCACTCCACCTGTTGTTGTCCCCCTGCCTCATGAGCTGTCCCCCCACCACTTGCTGCCTCTGAGTGTTGGAGGTTTGCGCATTGGGTCCAGGACCTTCTGCCTCTCACTACCGCTCCCCGTGTTTGGCACACAGCAAGCCGTGGGGTGTATTTGAAGGAACACATTCATTCATCCTCAGCTCCTCTGCCCTGGACGCAGGGCTCCCCACCTCACCCTGCTCAGTCGTAACGTGGGGAGGGGCTCCCCAGTGGGGTCTTCAGGAGCCCTCTGCTTGGAGGGCAGTTGGCCTCACGCCTTCCGAGGGCCAGGAGGATGGAGGAAGTTTCCTGTACAGTGTGAAATTCGCTAGAAGGTGTGTGAACTAACCAGTAAATGTTTCTCTTTTGGAATTTACAGAAATATTCGTTGCTGCCTTACTTGATTTTAGTACTGAAACAGTTCCTCCTGCAGAGGGACCTGAATGAAGTTTTCACCGGCGGCATCAGCTCGTACAGCCTTATTTTAATGGCCATTAGCTTTCTACAGGTGAGTACTTTCTCTCCGGACCAGGAGGCGACTCCTTGTTCCACCCGTTGCTTCGTGGACCCAGCTCATCTTGCTCCCTTCTGCTCTGTTTTGCTGTAGTGGCGATTGTCTTCTGATCTTCGTAACCAAGTCCTGTTCTGATGAATACTTCTTTCCTATCGTTCCTTTGCAGTTTATCTTGCAGCTGATTTAACTGTTGGAGGAGGGAAGCCTTATGTGCTTCTACAGTCAGTCTGTTGGTCTCAACTCAAGGCAATGTCTTTACCTTTTACAAACTTTCATACTTTGATAGACAATGAAAAGCTATTTTTCTTGGTGCTTGACTGTGATTTACATTGAAAAACCTGTCTCAGAAAAAAAGTTTGGTACCATACATGGTAAAAAATATTGCAAAGAGCCTTTCTTTTCAGATCGACAAAACTTTATATGATGTCTTGAATTATATATTTCCCTTATTTTGTCGAGTACCATGGAAAAATCTGTCAGTAGAAAACCTATCTAAGTGTTAAATGCTGGGTGGTACTGATAAACTATATTCACACTTTTTAGACATGTAAAATAGCCTCTAAGTTAAATGAAACATCTCATTTGTATTTCCTGGAACGAAGGACCCAGCTCTTTACAAAGCCCAGCCTGTGCGTGTAGCTGCACAGCACTCCCTCCATCTTTATTACTGCTTCTGTGGTTGTGCCTAGTGAGGGTTCGTGTCCAGAATGGGGTCGTTTTCCCGTTCTCATGAGTGCCGCTGATAGCACACCTGTGGGTGCAGGGCCTTTACTGATTTTTACTTCCTCGGCCTGTCTTTGCCAAGAGATGCTTTAAGAAGCGTGAACATGGAATTCCATGCGCTTTCTTAGTTTCATCTCATTGCCTTGTCTTCCACTCGTTCCTCCACGATGCTGCCCTGATAGCCACTCTCCCCTAGTTTTTGGACATGTTTTCAACTAAACACAGCCTTCTCTTCCTAGTTTGCTTCCTCATGTGTTTCTGATTTGAACTATTTCAGTAGCCTTGTAATAACGACTGGACTTACTTTTATTGCGCTGGGCTAAGTGCCTCCTGTCGAGTTGCCCCAGGCCACCCTTGCGGGTTCCTGGGACCCCCCGAAGGCTTTGGTAGCATGGGTGGGATCACCTTTGTCATCTCCACATCCCTGGGTCCCTTGCCTTGGCCTCTGAGCTGTGACTGGTGTAGCATGGGAGTGCATTTCATGGCTCATTGAGGCAAGAAGGCTCAGCCTGGTCCTGGGTGGCCCTCAAGTATTGGAGTTTGACGAGAAGGCAAGGCGAAGGCAGGGGGTAAGGAGAGGTGGAAGTAAGAGAGCCGCGTCTGTGCCCTTGCAACACGCACACACTCAGAAGCCGGAGCTCTGAACCCTGGAGGCGCCTGCAAGTTGCATGTCTGTCAGGACCCTTGTGGACTTGACTGTCACCCTCCAGCTCAGTGCTGTCCAGTGTGACTGTGCAGCTGGCAGTGCTCTGTCTGTACAGTCCAGCAAGATAGCCACGGGCCACAGGCGTGTACTGAGCACTTGCAGTGTGGCCAGCAGGAGTGACAAACGGAACTTCAATTACTTTGTCGGAATCTATTTAAGTATAAAGAGCCGTATGTGGCTCGTGGCCTGTCTGACGGGCAGTGTCTGTCTCTTACATCAGTGACCCAGGAGGGTGTCAGTAGACAGTGGCCACGGGTTCAGGAGAAGCCCCATCACCTGCTTAAAGAGCTTGTGGTGCTGAACTGAGGCACATGCTAGTCTGCATGACACGCAGGGTGTAAGTTGGCTCCAGATGTTCTGATACCATGCTAATGACCCCTACACAGTTAGAATGAGCGCTGTCACTTTCTGCTCTCTGTGATTCTGTTCAGTCTCATGCTGCCCTCTGTTGGTCGTGTTGTGGAATAATAGAGGTAAGATTAGAATCTGTAAAATGCACCCACCGCCAAGCTGACTCCACACTGCACAGGACGTGCCCGCTCATCAGTACCTGGGAACTTGCGGTCAGTCAGATGGCTGTGCTTGGAGGAAGCTGCTGTGTGGGTTACCAGTTTCAAAGAATTAAGCTATAATGACCAAGTTCTGGTTAGAAGGTTTCATTTCTTTGGAACGCTCTTTATGGAGAAAGGCTGTCCAGGCTAACTGTCAGTGCCTCCGCGGGCTGCTCTGAGCCAGCGTCACTCAGGGCGGCTCCTTGAGGCCCCGGACAGTGGTCTTCAATGCATGCAGCCTTCTCAGAAATGACTTGAATCCATACAAACTGTCGGTGTATTGCTTTCACAGTTGCATCCAAGAATTGATGCCCGGAGAGCTGATGAAAACCTTGGAATGCTTCTTGTAGAATTTTTTGAACTCTATGGAAGAAATTTTAATTACTTGAAAACTGGTATTAGAATAAAAGAAGGAGGTGCCTATATTGCCAAAGAAGAGATCATGAAAGCCATGACCAGCGGGTACAGACCGTCGATGCTGTGCATTGAGGACCCTCTGCTGCCTGGTAAGGGCGCCTGGCTCTGCGCTCGCCCCAGCGATGCGGGGCCCCTGGCCCCCCGGGGGGTGGTGGCTGGTGTCCTCAGGCCCTGCTGGCCAGGGGAGGGTCGTTGGATCTGGGCAGATTCCTACTGTCCTAACAGGTCAGAGTGATGTTTTAGAATTTCTTGTTTATGCTTCTAATTACTTGTTGTAAAGTCACAATTTTGTTACATTCTATAATCAGAAAACTGTAGAAGGTGAGAATTAAGAAAAAAATGTTTTTTTTTCTGATTATAAAAGTACTATCACATATTCATCATAAACCATTTAATTCCCATAAGTATGTAACATAGAAAAACGAAGTATGCCATAATCTCCCATTTTGATGTGTATTTCTCCACATTTTTCCCTACATGGTTATTAACATTTCTTATTGCAGCTTTATTAATTAAATGGCATCAGATAATACAAACAGATCTGCAAACTGTTTTTTAGTTAACGTATCCGAGACCCCTTTCCTAAGGTCTGTTCCGTTACAAGGATTGCCACCCAAGGCGGGTCTCCAGTTTTCCAGTTTTATTCCTTTTAACATATTTAAGGGTGCTCATGTCCCCAACCTTTGGTGACAGTCTTTAAGTCGTTGCCAATCTGATAAAACCATGCAGTGTAAATTTTCATTTAATTTACAATTCTTTAATGACAGTGAGGCTAAACACATCGTTGTTTATCAATTCCACACATGTTTATTGAGCATCTATTAGGTGAGACTCTGTTCTTACTGTTGGTGATAAAGTCAGTGACGGACAGGTGACAGAAAAGGTGGTGGAGATGTCAGCTCCAGGTACACTGCCCTTCGTGTCTCTCTCTGTGTGAGTCTGTGTCCTTTGTCCATTTGTCTGCTGGCTGTTCCCGTACTGATTTGTATGTTAGGGGAGCCTTCCTTCATGGCACACGCTGTACTTTCTCCCTCCCAGCCTGTCATTTGCGTCTGGGTTTGGTAGTTTTTATTGTTCAGTTCCCATTTACAGTCTGTAATATCCTCAAGTTGAATGATTTTTGTTTTGTCTGTGGCTTCTGAGGTGTGAAATTCTTAAAAATCCTTTGAGAAAAAACATGCTGACTTTTGTGCAGTTGTTCGTGAGTGGCGTGATTTGGGCCGTGCCTGTTCAATAGTGGGTCAGTAGTGGGCAGCAGGCTGACAGGTTCCCACCAGCTGTTTGTCTGTGTTGCTCAGTGAAATTGGAGGCATTTCCATTGTTTTCAGTGTTTGCTGAAGTGTACTTGACAAACAGAACCCCACGTTATCACTGGGTTATATTATTAAACCTGGAAAAGATAAAATTCCAATACTTAGAATACATCTCCTCAAAAATACTCATTACCTGAACTGTGAAGAGGTTTGGTGTAAACTGAAATTCTAAACTGCTCTTCTTGTGAGGTTAGGCTCCTTGACTGTGGCTCACTTGGTGACCTCAGTGGTGGCTTCATGTGATTTGCTCCCTGTCATGTTGTCCACCCCCGGAGTGCAGACCTGGTACATTCTATCCTAGAGGGTTTGCCCTGTGCAGGTCCTGTTGGTGCTGACCCACCTGTGGTGGGTTCGGGCTAACTGCCCACTGCAGGGCGCTCTTGGTCAGTGAGGCAGCAGTCTGACGTAGGTGGCTGCTTTGGCTCCCTTGTGACTCTCATGAACTGTCACTGCGTCTCTGTGACGACATGTCTGTTCATGGAGGTCCAGACTGTAACCTCATGATACAGACCGGGCCTCAGCCCAAGAACGCTGTGAGATGCCCACGGCGATGAGCTAAGGTGCGTTTGCAGAGGCTTGATCAGCCTTGCTGGTGGGCCCTGGGAGTGTTTGGATGGTGAGGGCCTGCTGCAGAGTAACGGACGTGAGGTCAGACACGCCTGGGCTCTGGCCCGCGTGCTTGGCAGAGGCGCCCAGCTGCCTTTCTGTTGCAGGAAATGACGTTGGCCGGAGCTCCTATGGGGCCATGCAGGTGAAGCAGGTCTTCGACTACGCTTACATTGTCCTCAGCCACGCTGTGTCTCCACTTGCGAGGTCCTACCCCAACAGAGATTCTGAAAGGTAACAGAGCCACGTGTCGCCTCTGCTGGGCTCCCAGCCCCAGTAGCCTGGCAGTTGCACCCTCATTAGCCTCTGCAGAGCTGGCACCCCTTGCCTCCATCATTTGTTCCATGAAGTTTATTAATGGATGTACCATCAGATTTAAGTAAAACTTGAACATAACGGTACGGGAAGAGCTTTCAGGAATTCAGGATGGCCGTTTTGGTTGATCCAAGGGCAAGAGTTAAAAATTTCATATTTGAGGAGTTAACATTTTTTCCCAGTATTTTGTTTGGGGGAGGTGATTTCTGGCTCTTCAAACTTGGGTACGTGATGATTTTCTTCAGGCAGTTCAAAATGTGGACAACCAGCTCTGTGTGAATGGGTGTCGATTTACAGGGTCTTTTGTAGGTCGATGTAGGTTCAAGGACTTCTGCTAAGTGAACCCACTTTTTCTGTGCTGTGATTTCAAAGTGCATTTGAGCTCAGACATCAGAAGCCATACATATTTTGTAAAACTGTTTAGCTTTTTCCTATATTTCACTTAGCAAAGTGATACATTGTATGTATGACATAGCTACTGGGAAGGGCTTGTGAGCATCATGATTGTGTCATGCTCTGTTGATTTCCCACGTTGTTTTTTTGTAGTACTTTAGGAAGAATCGTCAAAGTAACTCAGGAAGTGATTGACTACCGGAGGTGGATCAAGGAGAAATGGGGCAGCAGGGTCCACGCGGCACCGGACCTCGGTGAGACAGTCCTTCAGTCGGGTTACTCTCCACCTCCTGACCGCTCGTGCGGGAGAATCTCTCTGTCCCTTTATGTCCAAACTAAGAAAAATACCTCATTTTTTAAATAAGAGTTTAATTGAAAACTATAAGATTTAGGCCAATGCTGTCCAGTAGAAATATAACGCCTGCCACACATGGAATTTTAAGGTTTGTAGTAACTACATTAAAAATGTGAAGAGAAACAGGTGAGATTAATTTTAATAATATGATTTATTCAATTTAGTGTTCAAAATATTAACATTTCAAGATATAATCAATATAAAATATTGCAATATTTTGCAGCCTTCTTTTGTACGATGTCTTTGAAATCCAATGTATATTTATATTTATAGCACATCACAATTAGGATCTTAAATTTTCTCCAGAAATAACTTGATCTGAATTTCATAAATTTCATAAAATGTCGAAACATTTGAAAACTGGAAACCGTTGAAAACTGCTATGCAGCTTGTTCCAAATATATTTAAATGTTTTCCAATAACTGAAACAAATATAATTTTAAAAATTAGAAGTTCGGTTTGTCAGTCTCATTAGCATTTTTAGGGTTCAGTCACACCTGTGGCCAGTGGCTGTCCCCCTCAGACCCCACACATGTGCCCTCCTAGGAAGAGACTGACCCAGGCTGTGTTTTTCTCTCCATAGACAATAGAATTAAGGTAAAAGAACGAATCAGCACGTGTGATGGGGAGCAGCCCCAGCTCCGAGACCCAGAGCCACCCTACAGCCAGCGCCTGACCTTGTCCCTGTCCAGCCCCCAGCTTCTCTCCTCGGGCTCGTCCGCATCGTCCGTGTCTTCGCTTTCTGGAAGTGACATTGTGAGTGTGTCTGCTGGGGGGGTGGGGGGGTCTGTCTTTGTGGAGAACGTGTGTAGCGGGGAGTTGAGAACCTACCTTCCCCTTAGTTTCTCTCACTCTCTTTATGTGTGTGCGAGGCCACCCCAAGTCTGCACCAAGTGGGCCCCGCTCTGCCGTAGCCTCTGGGCACAGTTGGGGAGCCCCAGTCTCAGTGGCCCAGGCGGCCCCTTGTGGGCAGCAGTGCCACTGCCAGTAGAGTTACAGTGGACCTCCTTGACTAGCTTTTATAACACGTACTTGGAGATAAAACATTGAGGTCAAGGTGTCCCTCATGCGTTTTCTTTGGATTCTTCTTCAGTTGGGCAATGCAGGCAGGCTTGGGCGGCCCGTTTGGAGCCGCGGTGAGGGACGCGTTGGCGCAGCCTGGGAGAGTGAGTGTGCTGCGGGCGTTGCCCTGGTGACGTGGGTGCAGCCCCCCTGCTCTTTCTGCTCACAGGACTCCGACACGCCGCCCTGCACGGTGCCTGGCGTTTACCAGTTCAGTCTGCAGGCGCCGACGCCCCTGCTGGCCAGTCTGCCCGCCGCCGTGCCCATGCCGAGTGGCAAGCCTCAGCCCGCCACCAGGACATTGGTCGTGACAAGTAACACGCAGGTGCGTGGCCGCGGGTGCCCTTCCTGGGACGGCCCAGGAACTGCGTCTGAGCTGCGACTGTGCTTGCTTGGGAGTGGCTGACACTTGTGATCTAGGAAAAGAGCTTTAAAAATCTTTGGACGGTACATTTATGGTAGGAAATTCTCATCTTTTATGGATCAGATGGAATGTAATTCCTGTCACTCTATAAAAGACAGTATCATCCAGGTCCGCCAAGCACAGTGTTTGCAGTGAGGGGACTCAGTCTCGGGCACAGACACAGCTTTGACAAGGTCCGAGGGGACCGCCTTTCTGCAAATTACATCGACACCCGCGGGAGACCGCCATCCTGGGGTCGTGTCGGAAGGAGGGGCTCTGATGTTGTCCCTTGGCACAAACGGACACTTGTCCCTGTTTCCCCTCAGAAACTCAGTGTTTACACTCTTAAAACGTTTTAGGGTAAATGCTAACTTTTTCACATTATTCATTAGGCAATATTTATAGGGCTTTTTCTATTGGAATATGTCCTCCATTTTTGTTTTTTAATTTAGAATTAGAAAACTAAAAGACTATCACAAATACTAAATTTTGTATTTATACATCAGTTGAATTATGTATATATATTAAAACCCGTCACATTAATTTACTTTAAAACAAAGCCAGTCTCTACAGTGTGGTTATAATTGGAGCATAAAGTGACGTAGATGCCTGTGGGGGGGCAGGGGGCCGTCACTCCTCAGAGGACTTCGTGAGCCAGGCAGACGTGAGCAGTGCCACTCTTGAAGGCCTGAGGAGAGGCGTTCACGCCACACCCTGTGCTGTGACGGAACGTGATGCAGAAATGGAAGCAGCCCTGGACTGCAGAGGCACGGGCAGCGGCCACTTTCCCCTGGCACCCGTCCGTCCGTCGCAGGCCTATCACCTCCCCAGGCAGCCTTGGGACACTGACCTGTGTGGGGTGGGGGCTCCGCGGGGGGCGCTTTCCAGAGATCCAGGGGATAGCTGTTACTCTGACGAGTGTCATTTTTTAAATTATTGTTTGGTCTTAATACTGAAACTCGATGACCTGGGTTGCTGGGCATACTTCATATTTTGATTGCTGTTTCAGAGTATAAAATGCTTCCGATTCACAACAGTCTTGCTGTGTTATAGTCTAACCCAGACGGCCTTGATGAGCCTGTTGGCAAATGGCAGCCTTCTTGGGCTCAGCGCTAGAACTGGGCTAGGAGGGCCTGCTGGACCGCTGCCTCACGATGTCTCGTTTGTGCCCCTAGACCAGACTCGCCATACCTCCGCCGGCCCTGGGGGTGGCCCCCGGCCCTTGCAGACAAGCTGGTGTCGAAGGAGCCCCGGCACTGAAAGCCGTGCATCACATGTCCCCGGCCGTCCCGGCAGCCTCGCCCCACCCGCTCCCCAGCCCCCACCTGTATCATAAGGTAGGTCCATGCTCGGCCCTGGCGCCCCCCGAGGCAGGTTGACGGCAGGCAGTGCTTAACGCTTCCTCTGCCCGAGAGAATCCCATAGAGGGTTTTGTTAAAGGGAATTCATTTTCTGATCATTCAGCTTTACATTAGCTTGCTTTTGTAACAAACAAAACTTGAAAAGTGTTAAGGAATTATTTTAAAACTTACCGTAGTTTAATTCCGCTCCACAAACATTTCTCTTAATTCTTCTATGGAACTTGTTAGCATAAAATTGAAGTTTGAAATTAGGTTCAAAGTGAAGAATATTTTGTGTTCCCATTTATCTGTTAAATTAATTTATGTGCTAAAAATGTTGGTTTTCAAGAAGCAAACGGATCAAGAATGAATATTGACATGACCCCATGCAGTGTTGTCGTGTTGTCATTCCCACAGTGTCACTCCCTCCCCTGCTCTTTGCCAGGGGTCTGGACAGAGGCCAGAGGCCAGGTGGGCTGGCGGGTTGGGCCCACAGGTCACTTGCTTCCTGGGTCCCGGGGTCCCTGCGGATGCGTTTCTCCATTTCCCTGTGGCTAAGCTAAGCCTACATCCCACACATTAGAAACTGTTGGGTAGGAAAACTGCTATTAAGTTCCCGTGCTTGCAAAATGCCTGGATGTTTGAAAGAGCTGACTGGGGGGTGAAACTGGTGTCTGAGGCCGGGGCCGAGGTCCCCCTGGGCCTGGTGGGGCATGCTTGCCACACTCGCCAGTGTGTGTCTCCGTCACCCCCGTCAGCTCCCCTGCTGCTTAGGGAACCACATTTTATCAGCAAAGTTTGCATCCTTGATGCTTGGCTCTTTGGACCTGTGTCATTAAGTTCTGATTCTTTCTTTACTAAGAGTTAAGTAATAGGATATCCCTGTTTGGATGTATCCGTCCTGTCACAGTGGAGTTTTCCTTATATCACAGGTGTGTCACGCTGGCCCATTAGAAACGTTCAGGATGAAAGGATAACTCTGCAAAGGGCAGAGCAGCCGTCTTGTGGGCTTTGCTTTCCGCCTCGACCCCCGTTGCTTGTTTTGTTCTGAAACTTCCTGAAAGTGGCCGCGTTTTCTGGCCATCTGCTTTGCCTGGGGCTCTGCAGTGTAGGAGCGGCCTGACCACGTGCCACTGTGTGTCACCTGTGACACAGCCCTGACCTGGGGACTCACCCGTGTGTTCCCGAGGTGGAAGTTGGGGGAAAGGAGATGAGGGGGACCCTCTGGTTTTTGCACGCAAATGGAAGCAGAAGTGAGGTGCTAGGTGTGTCTGGATATGAATGGACAGTCTGACACAGGCTCACGTCCTTCCCTTGCGTGGATCACTGAGTGGGAATAGTGGCTTCCTCTCTGTGAAATCTCAGAGTTTGGCTTTCTCTTAGGTAGAGCCTTTCGAATTCATACCGTGTGGACACTTAACAGTGCAGTGATGACAGGACTGCGCCTCATGGTGTGTGTGGATGTGTGTGGGTTGCACGAGCTCACTGTCCGAGCATCTGCCTTTTAGCAGCAGAGGCCGCAGCGCATGCTTACTGGGGCTCACTGCCCGAGACCGAGCTCGCAGGAGCTGGGACGGGTGGGGCTCCTGTGGCCTCCCCCCAGTGTCACTGTCCCTCTCTGTCTCTTCAGCAGCACAGCGGCATGAAACTGTCCATGAAGGGCTCTCACAGCCACAGCCAAGGCGGCAGCTACAGCTCTGTGAGCAGTGGAGGCGTGCGGCCCCCCGTGGGTAACCGGGGCCACCACCAGTACAACCGCACCGGCTGGAGGAGGAAAAAACACACACACACGAGGGACAGCCTGCCTGTCAGTCTCAGCAGATAATAGCTCCTGGCGGTGCCTCCCGGCCCTGCCCTTGCACAGACTGAGGCCGGGCGCCCGGCCGGGAGCTGAGACCAGCATCCAGCACATGAGCCGGGCCCCTCGGCCGCCCGCCGCCGATCGCTCTGCATGTCCCTTGTGTGGTGGTCACGTCCATCTTAAAGAACAGCTCCTTGTGCTCATCTGTGAAGCCTTAGTCAACGTGGACGCTGTTTTCTGCCTTCCCAGGATCTTTCCAGAAGCAGGTCTGGACCTGGAGCCGCAAGGAGTGAAGTCGGCCTTGGCGTTTGTGTCTCAGTGGCCGAGTCTGTTCCTTTGCAGATGGGTGTTTTCGTTTTCCGTTTGTCAGCCACAGAGATCAAGCCTGTCCTCGGTTCTTCCTCAGCGGGCAGGACGGGAGGTCGCCATTGTTTTACTGCCCTCACATTTTGTTTCGGATTTCAGAACTTTTTCTATGTAAATATTGAAAACTTATGATTTGTGCAATAACTCAGATATTTTTTATTTAATTTCATATTTTCACATAAGTTATATTTAAGGGAGGAGGGAATTTTTTTAAACAAGCTTAGGTCCTTTCCCGAATTGCATTTTCTAAGTTGGGTTCATCGTGTCGGCTGGTTGTCTGATGAGCAGTGTCGCAAACACCGAATGAGGGGCGTGGGTTTATTTTTATGTTTACCCTTTGGGTCAGACGGGAGGCCTCTCAGTCCAAGTGCAGGAGCACAGTGCCCCCAGGTTTTCCCAAGGGGCTCGGCTCACGAACCCTCTGACCAGCTGCCCGCCGGCTCTGCCGTCCAGCCTTTGTTGTCTCGCTCTGACCACAGAGTTTTAATGTTTTGGTTTTCCGTCCTTTTAAACTAGACAACAAATCCAGCATTTAAAGTGCCAGAAGTATAACTTTCTAAGGGAGAAGAGATTGTCACATTATAAAATCTTTAAAAAAATGTGAACTTCTAAATGCTTCAGTCAGTTTTAGTAACATAGCCTGTAGCGATGGGTCTGGAGAACGTCATTGCGGACAATGGTGCCCAGTTTTAGGAATGTGGAGAAAGGAGTCAGGTTGATTCCGTGGAGGAATCTGTACAGTGTGTATTCGTTCTGTTAAGAGCACATCCGTGGAAGCCCCCCAGCTGCTCACTGCGCCGTGGGAGTGTTCTCAGTGCGTTGGGGGGAGCACAGCCCGGGGAGGGGGGCCCGCCCTGACAAGCATACGGTATACTATGCAAGTGTCTTCTGCCATGACAACCACTGTCTTTGTTACCCTTTTTTGAACAAGAATATATCTATCCTGCCTAACCCTGAGTTTTCGGAGCACCACAGTTGTCCTGGAAGTTGGCTGCATCTCATAGGTCACCTGAGACCCCATCTTTAAAATGGGGCTCAGGCCCTGCTGAACACTACAGGTAGGTTGGTCTTTGAAGTCCACTAGTGGAGCATGTTGAGAGGAGAAGCTTATTACCATGACACCCAATTGATGTGCAGACTGGGGAGCTCTAGGGCGGCCTCCGAAGGTGACGGACACCCAGCAAGCACCAGCTTTAAAGTGTCTTCGGTCTGTTTTTCCTGAAGCAGGACTGGCCCACATTGCCATTGAGAGCTGCCAGCTGCGACAGCAGGCTCCCTAGGGGGCCTTCCAGAACAGAGTAGCACATTTTGTCTGCAGTTCTTAATGAGCGAAAGTTATCAAAAATATTTAAAGATATTTAAATTGTGAACCTATTGATAAATATTTATAAAAACTGATAGGTAGGCCTGTACTAATCTCTACGCATTAGCAATATTGACTGTAACACTACATTAAGGACACCATTGCGGGGACCTGGCCAGTGTCCCGTGGGTGCACATTTTAAAGCTCGAGTCCTAACAGGCGCCATGCTCCACCCCCGTCATGGTGAACCGATGAATTGGCCTGGCTGCCACTGTGGGCATGCTTTACAGGTTTAACAAAACGATACCATGTTTCGATTTTGTGTATGTGCGGACAACATTGTGGAGGCTAAAATTGACATATTTTTATGTAACGTTTTTCTATTCTTTGATTTTTAATAAACTTTGGAAACTGGTGGTTTGTGTTTGAGTATGTGCTTTCCTCTCAAGGGGAAGGGTGCCTTCTACACTTGCACATTCTCAAATTTTCTAAGTAACGAGGTAATAAAAAATTATTTCATCCATTGTTTCAATAAATCCAGAACCTAGTTGAGGTTCCAGGCTGAGTGAGAGAAAATCGGAATTGAAACATTCTATGCTCATGGGGATTGAGTAAAACTGTTTAAATGATACTGTTTATGTGCAATTTCTGACAAGCTGATACTGTGATACTATGTACTTAGACTTCCCAAAGAAACATTTGTTTCTTCTCCATCACTCTTAAGTCAACATTTATATCACTTACAGAGAACACATTTTAAACTGCCAAACAGTCATGATGTAGCTTGAAATGTAACTCATGTTTAGAATTTATAAGGAAATTTATAAAAACCCTTACAAACTGGAGAGTGACAACTCCTTAATCTCAGGCTGCATGGCCCCTAGAGAGTGTGTTCTAGAATGATCGTGAAGGCGGGTGGCATGGCTACAGCGTGCATGCACTGTGTCGTTCACAAAAGGTTTCCGACGTGCTCTGGGCAGGCGCGCTCCCAGCACCCGTCCCCAAGCGTGGCCTGGGCTGGTGTGTTAGCTGGTGATAACACCGCCCAGCTCAGGAAGTGGGGCAGCTTCCCGTTGGCCTGGGTTCCATGGTCAGTGTCTGGAGTTGGAAGATACTGGCCCTCATAAGGATGAGTCCTGGACAGGGGTGCCATGGTCGTCTGAAACGCGCACGAACCCCTCCTCAGGGCATTTTTTAAAGAATTGTTTTAAGTGACTTCTGTGGTCATTTTAGCCCGTTCCTCGCTTACCCGCTCCATCACACGGTGGGCCTCCGTCCTTCCTGCCCCTGCTGCCTGCGCGTCCAGCCACGTGGCCTGAAGAGGCTCTTTGCTCCGTGCAGCCCCTCATGGTCAAACCCCTCACCTGCTCTTCGCGAAGTTTAAGAAGATCCGGGGTAGGCCTGGTCCGGGAGGGGCTCCTGCCTGAGTGTGCGGGGCCTGACACCCCTGGTCTCCAGCTGTCTCCCCCTCGGGGCACAGCATGAGTGTTGGCTGGTGTTGGGGGTGACCCCTCTTTTTTCCTGTCCACACTTTCTGGGGCAGGCCCCTTAGTCCACGTCCATGGGGTCCCTCCTCCCCTTGGGGCCGACTGGAGAGGCCCACAGGATTGCGCTCTCTTTTCTGGGCCAGAATCGCCAGTGGTCAAACGAGCGGTTTTTTTTGGCAGTCACTGTCACGTTAAGCAAGTAGCATCTCTTCTGTCCCTTTTTCAAGTATGTCTTTCATAGATTGTGAGCTTTCTGAGGCATCCCTCCCAGGCCCTGCTGGAGACGGGGTTCATGGGAGGCGTCTTGATTCCTTGGCTCCTGTGATCACGTGCCAGAGGATGTCTGCATCAAATAAGCAGCAAAGCCGCAGTGAGTGAAAAATGGAAGGTGGAGAAAAGCAGCAGGAAACTGTCGAGAGTTCAGGTTTCGTTTCTTAGGGAAATTGGAATCTGGATATGAACTAGAATTCTGAAAAGCATCCCGAACTCCTTTTAGCGGAACCTGCCCGTTCGAGGCTGCCCACCCTGGAGGGTTTGTTGGCTGACAGGGCGCCTGCTAGCCCAGCCGTACAGGAGGAAGGAACGTTGGAGCCACGATGCAGCCCGATGATGCGTTTTCTTCAGTTTCATGTATTTTATTCCATTCCGTTTCATCTCAAGTTCCTGGCTGGGCGTTTCCGCCAGGCCTCTGTCCGTCCCGGCAGCTGCCTGCTCAGTGCGGGGTCTCTGCCTGGACCCAGGTCTGGGGTGGGTCTCCCTCTTCTTCCTCCCGACCAGGCCCAGTGGTGTCGGGCTGAGGGCTCCCTCCCCAGTCCCAGGGATCCTCCTTTTGGGCCCGGCAGGAAGTGCTGGCTGTGCCAGTGTCTCACCCAGAGGAGAGAGGTGCTCACCTCACGAACGCCTTGTGAGTGGCTTTTCTCAGCCCTGAGAGCCTCTGCTCGCCGGGCCCTCCCAGCACAGGGTCACAGGCCTGCACGTCACTGTGCGGTGAAAGGGTCCCTTCCTCATGGTGGGGTGTGGCCCCCCGAAGTAGGCCAAGAATTAATATTTGAAAAGAAACCATGCACTTGCATTTTAAAAATAGTACAGGGAAACCAGGCTGCATTTTTTTGTTTTGTTTTGAAAGAAAGGAAAATCTGTAAAACACCAACAGGACAATTAAGGTGAGGCTGCCTGGGGCAGTGTGTGTGTGAGGGAGCACTCCTGCCACCCCAGGGGGTGTCTCAGGTCCCATGGGGGTGGGGGCGCCCAGAATTGCTGACATCAAATTTCCACCCTCCTGCAGAACCTGCAGCCTTTCTGGCCTGGACAGGGGACTGGTGGCCACTGTCATCAGGGTCTCCATGTTCTGGGATGGGGTGGGCGGGGGCTTCTTCTGGTTGAGGACCTTGTCCTGTCCCGTGTCCCTCCCTTTAGCCTGTGAGCTCCTACAGGCAAGTGACCTGTCTCGGCCTCTCCACCTGGGTACGGGAATGTGGAAACCCACCCCTGGAACTCTGTGGGGCGGGCACATGCAGGCCTCTGTGCCAATGCATTCTGCGAACTGCCAGCTGCTCCCCTCTAACGTGTGACCTCTGGGGCCCGCTCCCCGACTTTGGCTTCTTTCTCTGCCCCTGTCCCCTCACGGGGACTCTGTCCAGCTGCCTTGGCACCAGCTCGCTGGATGGGCCTCTGCTTCTGGTAGCTGCACAGCAGTCGTTGGGTGGGTGAGGGGCCTCAGGGCGGGTCAGGGAGAGAAAAGTCACCTCAGGTCCCCAGGGGCAGAGGAGGGGCCGTACCCCTCCAGAGGGAGAGCAGGCTTTCCACACTGGGGG